AATAGCGCTATCTACTGCGAGGATCGTGTATCATATGTATCTAATACCGCAGTACAAAATATATGAACTTCATATATTTCATTGTATCTCATTTATCACTTTCACGGGTTTATTACGAATCAACTTAACGGCCTGCTCCCAGTTGGCTTGTTAGCTCAATTGGTAGAGCGCTGCACTAGTATCGCAGAGGTCAGTGGTTCGAGTCCCGTACAGGCCTGATTTTTTTCAGGTCTGATTTTCGCTATTGCTTTAATAGCGCTATCTACTGCGAGGATCGTGTATCATATGTATCTAATACCGCAGTACAAAATATATGAACTTCATATATTTCATTGTATCTCATTTATCACTTTCACGGGTTTATTACGAATCAATTTAACGGCCTGCTCCCAGTTGGCTTGTTAGCTCAATTGGCAGAGCGCTGTACTAGTATCGCAGAGGTCAGTGGTTCGAGTCCCGTACAGGCCTGATTTTTTTCAGGTCTGATTTTCGCTATTGCGTTAATAGCGCTATCTACTGCGAGGATCGTGTATCATATGTAAATTCTGTATTATCCAGGGAATTGGCATCTTGCAGTTGAGAATTTCTGGCATGGTTTTCTCAGTTTTTTTTTTCTTTTTAATTTCTGAACAATTCTGACTAGTTTCTGAAAACTAGTTGCATTAGTCTGTATCCAACCCTGACCACGATTTGAATTTCCCTCGAAGATACATTTGACTCGTTATGTAAGGGATAGTTATCGTTAAATAAGAATTTATGAATCGTAACGAGGGTGAAAGGGTTATTATTCTTACCTCGTAACAGTCCTTTTTACGGTTGTGGGCTTGGTGGCCAAGCCTTTGAACAGGAGTGAGGCTTAGGGTGACCTTGTTATGATAGAGATGTTGCTGCTTTTCAAATGCAAATTACTTTGTTATCATGCTAACTAGATACAGGTCTTTATCACAACAGGGTCACCCTTAGCCTCACTCCTGTTCAAAGGCTTGGCTACCAAGCCCACAACTGTAAATGATATACAGTATGATGAAAATGCAGGGGAGCGATAAAAAATGTTATGCAAAGGATTCAGTGGATCTTGCAAGAAGGCCACAGTCACTCTTAAAGGGTTACTTAAGTTTACCATAAATTATTTGCAAGACCAGTCTGATGTCGGATAGTACCCCTGCGCCCAGCTCTGAAAGAGTCCAGGCGGGTGGGTAATCCAATTTTCGGATATTCCACTTATCTGTAAAATAAAAGAATCGTAATTTTATTGAGAGTGCTCACTGTTTTAAGGTCTTGTATGAAGTCAAAAGCAAACGATAATGCAAAGCAATGAAGACTTGATTGCCAACAATTGCGTCTCTGCATGATTTAAACAACCATCCCTGAATCAACAATTACACCATGTAAATCTAAAGCTATCCTTTTCATTCTCACACTTTCAGTTCATGCTTTACCTCCTTCCTCGTTATCACTATTCATCATAATTAGCATTATTAAAAACTAGATGATTGGATAATGCAATTCAAGACTTTTTATTGGCTTAGCCACATGGTATATCAGCCAATATACCATAATCTACAAATATGGTAAGCGTACGTGTCAGCTTAAAATTAAAAGGGAGCTGAGAATTTAATAAAATTTAATAATTTGATTTAACGTTTTTAAAAAAAAAATTATTCCACTCACGCTTGTTGGATATGAGATGGTTATAGCCAACTCGGCGCTACGCGCCTCGTTGGCTATCTACCATCTCATATCCAACGCGCGCTCGTGGAATAATTGTTAATTGTTCTACTTACTATTCAACTTCCAACGCTTTGTACAGTAATTAAATGAAGATGAAAGAAGTTTCTGTCGAAACATTTCTTACAGACTCAAAAGTTTTGTCACTTTCTTTAAATTCTTGACTTGCCTGCTGATATCAAGACCCTTAAAGTCTCTTGTTTTAACTAATCTTGTTTTGATTTTATGTCCATTGTGTTTTCTGCCATGGAAATTGAAACAAACTTTGACCAGCGGTAGCACCCGTGTAATTTGGGTAAGTACTTGTTGAAATCCGTCATACATGTATCAATACATAAGAACATGTGGGAATACATGGTCATTTGCATACCTTAACATATATTAAGGATTTCACCAAGTACCTACCGTAATTTCGTACCCAAATCCTTCCGTGTAATTCAGAGTAAGTTGGCAGTGGAAGGTCTAGGCTCGAAACTAGCACAATTGTTGAAAATCCTCACTTTTCTATGAGATCAGAGGAAGAGGTAAACTAATAGGAAATCATCTTAGCTGCAACACCTTGCCCCAACCCCCACACACCTCCCTTTCAAGATGAAAAGAGAAACGTCTGAGACTACTTCTTACTCCAGTTCATGCAGCAAAATATTTTAAAGAGGCGTTCAGTCCAATTATCACGCGGATAGTCATCGTCAAAAAAGTCACACTAAGGTGACTAATGATTGGGTTTTGATAATTAGAATGATAGTAACAGGAAAAACACATCGAGGTTTTTCCTATTCGACTGCAAGTTAAATAGATTTTGGATTTACATTCAAAATTGATGAGATAATCAGATTAAATTTAAGCGCTATGTCAAGCTTTATTTAATCATCCCGTAAAAGAATTTGTCAACAAGTTATACTCGGATCTAAAGGAGGATTATAAGATTGGGTATTCTAGACCTGGATGTCCTCGTTTTTCCAATAGTTTACCTACTGCCAACTACTTCCAATAGTTTACAAACTATGGTTAATTAATATTCGAGTTAATGGACCTAGATTATGGAATGAAACTGATGAGAGATTTAAGATTCTATCACCTTGTTTATTCAAAAGAGAATTATCCATGCATTTCATTAATTTGTATTCAGTTTTACTGCTAATTGCTATGTTTTGGCGTTTCTGTTATTTAGTTATTTATTTCATTTCCTTTTTTATTGTATACACGTTTAAGAATTATTTGTTGTGTAATCTATTTACTTGATAAGAGTTTAAAATTAATGTAGAATGTATAAAGCCTCTTTTTTGACCTTACATTTATATTTAATTGATATATTGTGGTCGCCCAACTAGTTTAGCTTTTTAGTTATTTTGGGCTACCAGCAACTGTATGTATTTTAATTTATTTCTTGTTTAACTTATAGTAAGGTAATGTACAGTTCAAATAAACCTTGTTGTTCAAGTGTTGTTGTTGTTGTTACTGCTTACTTGAATTCTGAAGTGATTATAGCGAATCTAGCTGACGAGGTTTCCAAGGGGGGTTCCATGGGTCCCTTTTCCTCGCCCTCCTTTTTAAGGATTTTCATGTTTTCCCCATTGGGCTTCTTCCCAAAAAACATTCAGAGAAATTTAGAACAATATTCCATTTGTCCTTTCCTAGGTCTGGGACCTCCAGCATAAACTATTTTGTTGAAAAGGATGAGTTCTCCCTCTAGAAATTTTGCCTAGGCTGCTACATGGCTAAAACAGACATAGAGTCACCTTTTCGGCTCTTTCCAGTCCATCTGGATGACTAGGAACTTCAAGTCGGGATGTTTTGGAAGGAACAGTATAGCTTTGACAAAGTATTCTCCTTTGGTCTTCGTTCTGTCTCGTACATTTTTAATTAACTATCTGATGCCATTCAGTGGATCCTACTAAACCAGTGTACAATCTCCTTTGTTTGAAAGATGTTTTTCGTCATGGTCACGAGCGTGGGACAAAGAAAAAATTCTGAGTCTTCATGAGAAATCGAACCTCAGACCTTTGGATTCTGCGCTGTGATGCTCTACCACTGAGTCACAGAGACTCTATGGTGAGCAAGGCCCATTACGAAGTTCATATTTGACACGCGTCCTGCGTGCTGCTAGGATCGACAATGTCGAAAGCGTCATGTTTTGTAAAAAATATGAAAGATGGTAAGTTTTGAGCTCAGTAAAGAAATGCAGAAAGATGTTTTGCGCCTAGTCACGAGTGTGAAACAAAGAAAACATTCTGAGTCCTTATGAGGAATCGAACCTTAGATGATTTCTTCATGGTGGAAGCACTTTGCCCCACCCCACCTATGGATTCCCTTTGCCGGGAAAGTCTCTCCAGTATGATCTTGACTTTTAAAAATTTGAATATCCCCATCTCAGCATCTATAACTGATTGACCCTTTCAAGTTCTTCAATTTATGGGTATCGTACTGGATTCTGAGCAAATGGAAGGAAGGCGACCCAATAACAAGGTTGCATTGATAAGATCAAATCTGCTTCTTCCACTTTTCAATCTCAGCGGTCAACAACACTTCAGTAACTTCAATCATTGATAGGCATTCTGAGCTTCCATGCAAGAACTTCAATCGTTGATAGGCATTCTGAGCTTTGCATGCAAGAACTTCAATCATTGATAGGCATTCTGAGCTTTGCATGCAAGAACTTCAATCATTGATAGGCATTCTGAGCTTGCATGCAAGAACTTCAATCC